CTACGTGATTTGCACATCAAAGACATCTTTACAGACACATCACCCAAAGCAGTGATAGTGAAGGCAAAGATAAACAGCTGGGACTACATCAAATTAAAGAGCTTCTGTACAGCAAAAGAGACAATAACAGAAACAAAGAGAAACCCCACCAACTGGGAGAACATTTTTGCACACAACACTAATGATAAAGGACTGATCACAAAAATCTGCAAAGAGCTGATGAGACTCAACAACAAAAAAAATAATCCCGTCAAAAAATGGGCAGAAGAGCTAAAAAGAAACTTCTCTGAAGAGGAAATGCAAATGGCCAACAGGCATATGAAAAAATGTTCAACATCACCTGTAATCAGGGAAATGCAAATCAAAACTACCATGAGATACCATCTTACACCAGTGAGAATGGCACATATTAAAAAAACTAGCAACAACAAATGTTGGCGAGGGTGTGGAGAAAAAGGAACTCTCCTGTGCTGCTGGTGGGAGTGCAAACTGGTCCAACCACTATGGAGAGCTGTGTGGAGATTTCTGGACCTACTAAACATAGAGCTTCCATATGATCCAGCAATTCCACTCCTAGGTATTTACCCAAAGGACACAGAAACATCAATTCCAAAGAACACCTGCACCCCTATGTTTATAGCAGCACTGTTTACAATAGCTAAGCTTTGGAAACAGCCCAAATGCCCAAAATAGATGACTGGATCAAGAAGATGTGGTACATATATACCGTGGAATATTACTCAGCATTCAAAAAAGATAAACACATGCAATTTGCAGCAACATGGATGGCGCTGGAGGGGATCATGCTCAGCGAAATAAGCCAAAAAGAAAAAGAAAAATACCGGATGGTCTCACTCATAGCAGGAATCTAGAAAACTTAAATAAGGGACCAGAAAAATGAATAACTATAAGAAAGCGAAAATCAAAATCAACAAAAACTATGAACCAGAGACACTTTTTGGGGGGTGAGGGGCGGGAGGGGAGGGATTGGGGTCAGAATGGGGGGGTTGCAATTGTATGGGGAATAAAAATAAAATTTATTATTTAAAAAAATAATAAAAGTCTAAGGGATGCAAAAAAAAAAAGAAATTATAGGATTGTTTGTTCATTAAAGTTGAGCAATTAATTCATGGGGTATGCTATAAGTCATGCACAATGCCCAGGTAGACCTCCTCCAATGAGAATATCTAAAGAGAGCATAGCAAACAATGATTTTCAGCCTAATTAGAATTTTTTTTAGTGTTTATAACCCAGAAGTTATAGCTGTAAACTTCAGATGTTATGGAGAAAAAAAATAGTACCTTAAATATAATCCAATAGTATTTACTTAAATAATTAGTAAGCAAAGAAATATATAAATTTGATTGGTTGGAAATGGAAACTTTCTACTTCTTCGCCAACACATACACACATAAGAAAGAGTATGTATGAAAATACTTTGTATTCTATAAAATCATACAGAGCTAGGTGGGATTCCACAGTCGTGTTCTCATGCAACAGAGCATATAGTTGAAGGAAGCAGTTTCTGGACTGTCTCATGTGGCTGGTTGAGTGAAATCATGGCCTGATCCTGAGAGAAGGGAAGATTTCCAGGTGAGGGCTGGCACATGTCCACATGAAAATAACTTAGCATGGAAGTCCCCTATCCCCAGGATTGTGCTGGGTGTGGAGGAGATGATGGAGGTAGTTCTGAAAATCAGCTGCCAGATGCCTGAGGAGCAGGAGTTGCCTTCAATGAATCAAAATATTAATGGGCCTTGCAAAGACAGCATCAAAGGCAACTGCAGTTTTCTCTGATGATATTTTCAAACTAATCTTTTCTTCATAGTCTCTCGGTTATCGAGTTCAACTTACGCCTTTTAAAGATAAAATGTGATCCCCAACCTCTGACTCATGCACAGTGTTGTAAACCAATGCTACCTCAATAAAAGGTTTTTTTTTTCATTCAACTTAAATAAGTGTATAATGACCTTGAAATGCTAGTTAAGAGAATAATTTCACACACAAAAAGAAAATTGGGAGCTATAAAACATGAAAATGGAGCTTAAGGTTGGCTGGCAGAGAAATTTTCTGAGATGTGGATTCAAATTTTCCGAACACACACACACCCACGCACACACACATGTCTATATACACCTATCTATTGCTATCACAAGGCTCCTGACCCCTGAAAGTTAGGGGCCTGCACTGACTTGTGCTCCTCCAGGCTTCCTAACACTTCAAAGTATAATTATCTATAATGTGGAAGAGTTGTAACGATCAATTCTGTTTAGAGAGTCTGCAGATATTTCTATTTTCTGACTGAACTCTAACAGGTACTGTAACCAGTTGCTGAAGCCAGAAACTTTTATAGGTGGCACCCCCCTGGGGAGTGCTGGTGAGGATGGATGACCCCAGGGAAAATGTGAACAAAGTATCATAGCATCTGTGGGAGTGGAGATGTGGATAAGAAACAAAGGGGACTACAGAAGCCACCCTCATTGAGTTCAGGATTCAGCATTTTGGATTTCAGTGTCTTCGAATCTTCAGCAATTCCAGGGTCAGCGATTTCTGCCCCAGCGTGCCCATCTTCCAGAAGGCTGTTGTGGGTCTCTGAAGGACATGGAGAGGTTTCCAGCAGCCAGCCTCAGGGAAAAGTCCCGAGGCTTTGCATGTAGCCGGGAGACTGAAACTATTCCCAGTTTTGCTGCTGTTGCATCCTAACAGGAAAGGCAAAGACCCAGAGTGGGTGCCTCACTGAGCTGTGAATGTGGCCATTTGTCCAGTAGTTTGGCTGCTGCAGCTGCTGTTTTGAGTGTCGTTTGCCTGCTGATGCACTGGAGCATCTTGGAAGCTCTGAGAGCATCTTCTGTTGTGTCTTCTGTTGTCTTTGTGAGCATGTATCTGGCTGCCACATGCTTCATGTCTGTGCTGGCTGGAAGATGCCATCTTGGGAGCATTTGTGTTTAGGACTTTAAAACACAGGACACTGCTTCAGATGAGGTAAATAGCCATTTTGGGGCTCAGTAACTGTTTTTCCCTAGTTTGCTAAATAAATCCCATTATCATTGTTCTCTAAACCTGAGTAGTCTTGCAATTGTGTACACAGGTGAAGAACTCAGATGGTAACCAGTAAACTATTAGGGCAATGTCCTTGGCCAATTTTAGGGCCCCTTGCTGCCCTGTATCAGTACCACTTTATGTGACCGCTTAATGTGACCACTTAATGTCACCAAGAAGAACTCATTCAGTGGCCCTCAGAAATTTCCTCAAACACACAGGAAGTGGGGTTTAGAAAGAAAACAGGGACCTACAAGTAGAATCTAAATAGGAACTTCTGTCCTATCCCAGAGAAAAGGAACTGAAAGTCTTTTCTAAAGTCTTCCAAGTTTCATATTCTTATGAGGAGAACCAATCAGTGTTTTAAATCTAAACAGTATCATCAGTTGCTGAGCAACATCTTAGGTTGAAAGTGCTATTACAACATGTAAAATATTTTCTGTAAGATGAATATTTTTTGAACACTTTGTAAGAACAAGGCATTATATGACAGCTAGCAAAGGACAGGTATTAAAAAAAAATCTTCATTTGCTTCTGAAAGAAAAACTGACAAGGCCAAATCATAACATCAGACTGTCAGAAGACTGATTCTACAAACTCTCATCTGGTACACTCCCCCAAACCCCTAGGAAACATATTCCTTAACATTTTGAGGTCATAACTGTACTATGTGTCTCTTCCAAGTGATCTACCAATAAATGTCAGAGAATATTCAAAGTCCTTAAGATGTTGCCCTCATGATGTGTAAGGGCAGCTGCTGGGCAGGATAAGGCCTCAGCACAACAGAATGGAAAAATCCACCATGAGTACATGTGTTATGACTGATATGACTGATATTAAACAGTGAACTCACCCCCTGCAGGGCTGTCTCAGTGCCTGTTCCCTACACTGCCTTTCTGTGTAAAGGCTGTAGTGTAATTTTTTCCTTCTATTGCACTGTATTTTCAGAATCATGAGGGTCAGAGTTTCTTAAATTTGAATGTTGTCAAGAGTAAGCATTAAAATTAACTTTTGGATTAGAACTTTGATAATTTCATGACATGAGGAGAACTTTCATCACCTCATGAACTGTGGAAGTAATGGCACCCCCCTCCCGACATACACACGCACAGGTTATTATCTATATCACTCCTAATAAAATAAGACTTCTCTCAATGTACTCCACCCTATTCATTGACTTGAATCATCAAGTGAGGGTGTCCTTAAATGTCTATTCCAACTTCTGGTCATCCTTAAGATGGTACCAGGAAAAACACCCCCTTACTGTTCACCATTTCCTGTAACCATTCATTATATTCCAAGGTAGTTTCCCACCCCTCTCCAGTCTTGCAGCTGTTGAAACTCATTATTTCTCCTCTGATGTTCTCTAAATATAGTACAGTGCCCAAGCCCCCCAAGCTCATGGGCTGTGTTGGCTATCTGGGAATATAGGATACTGAAGAAGACTGAAGCAGTAAATTTCTCAAGTGAAGCTCCGTTAACCAATACTGCCAAGATTCAGGCATTCTCCACTGTCTGACAATTTACATTTGCTTTAAATTACTTGTTTTTGTTTTCCCTAAAAGCAACTCCTCAGCTTTCACAAAAACACAGAGGGTCTGCCACTAACTCTCACTGTAATGTGTTTCCGTTGATTCTATTCTCACTGATGTGTTTCAGATGTACCGCCTCCTTAAACATGCATTGAAACAAAAGTCTGTGAAAGAGTGGTCAACTTTCCAAAACTTTTTGTTTTTGTTTGCTTGTGTGTTTGTTTGGCTAAGAAATGTTCTTATTTTTCTACAGTACAGAACTATCTCCTTTAATGAGCCCTTTGTTAGAGTCCTTCCCCTAGCAACACATGTGTCGTAGCAAACAGTTTTTTTTTTCTGATTGGCTGCAGATCAAAAGATTTGCATTTTTATTAGTCAAATTGTTTAATACCCTATATTCTCTGTTATTCCTGTCTATTTCTGCCCACTCTTAAGCTCTACAGACCTCAAAGCATTCATGAAGAAAATAGCCATAAGTGGAGGCCCAATGCTAGGATTTTTCATCACAGCTGTCCTGGTGAGACTTCAAGAAACATGGGCTATCAAAGGTAGGTGTGGGGAGAATCAGGATTAAGGACAAGAGTTCTGAGAGCACTGGGGCTGAACTGTGCACATCTGTAAACCTGTCTATGGTGTGAAAGACAGCGTGGTGGGTGTGATGTGTGTTAAATCTAATATTATAATAAATTTTACTTGGGAGTGTTCTCACCACAAACTAAGTCAAAATTAGAAGAATACAGCTGGCTTGTAGATTGATTAATATCACTAATTTGTGATTAGCCAAACTTAAGGGGAAAATATTTTCTGGTAGGTATTAACAAGCTCCGTTTCTAGGCTTTAATTTCCCTTTCTGGAAAATTAGCAAAGTTTAAAATGTGACGTAATGTGAGAATTAAGTGAGAAAAAATATGAAAAATTCTTGACACCTGATCTGAACTGAATATAAGGTAGTTGTTTTTTAGTGTTTTGTTGTTTTTCTTGTCATTGTTGTTTAACATATGAACCCTGTCAGCATATTTTGAGCACAAACATAGTCTTAAAGATCACTAAAATGGAAAGTCACTAAAAAGCTACCAATTGCCCAAAGGAAGAGGAAGAACAGGTTTGCTCTATGACTTGCCTTTATTTTACTGCCGCTTGGGACAGCGATAGTTTCCATTTCAGTGGCTCTTACAATGATTGTTGGGGATTGTCACTTAGTGACATTCCCAAGACAGTAATGAATAAAGAAGTGGAGAATGTATTATTCACTGTCACCACCAGAGCAAGCATTGTGCTCTTTCGATGCTATATTGTGAAAAAGATACCCTTCACTGGACATGACCCATGGAGAATGGCAGGTAGATGGAAATAAGGAAGTAGTAACTCCACTTCAAGATCCATGAAGGAAATTGTAGGTTTCTGTTGCCTAGAAAGAGCCAGATATGGTGATGCATACCTGGAAAGACAGGGACCTTTCCTTTGGGTTGAAAAGGGAACAGCTAGAATGTGTGTGTGTGTGTGTGTGGTGTGGTGTGTACATAACGGCAAATGTTAAATAAATCCTGGGTTTGTCAATACACAGTGAGACTTTAAAATCCCTTCCTCATCTACATCCACTGCAGGAGTTACATCCTCTCCAATTGTAGTTTTCTTATTTCAAGTTGATCACTTTCTTGGTATATATTACACTCAGTATCAATCATAATAGAATATATTCCACAGTGGCAGTCTCAATTTAAGCAACTTTAAGAAAAGGTGTGTTGCTGAGGGCAAATCAAACCGAACCCCTCTCTCAGAGGTATCACAGGGTGGGTGTGGGCCCAGGGCAGTGGGTGCTGTACAACACTACAAGGTCTCAAGCTTGAATTCCTGATTACCTCACACCCCAGTCATATTTTTCATGAATCTAACCCTTAAATTCCAAGCAGTTTCTGACTCTAAAGAGGATGTTATAGGCCTGGTGACATACTGTAAAATGACTTACTTTGTCTCATTTAATCTTAAAAACAACAAACCCCTGGTAGAAACATAACCACAGCAGAATTATTATAGGAAGATTACATGTAAATAGGTAAAATATTCTACTCAAGATCATCAGGTAAGTAAGTAGCTCAGTAAGAAGTCAAAATTTAATTTGATTCCAGAGTTCAGAACCCAAACTTTTTTTAAATTAAGTTTATTTATTTTCTTACAGTGTTGTTAATTTTTAGCCAGTATTTTATTTCTTCCTTCAGGCATGGTCCCCATAGTTCTCCCACCACCACAGCATCCGTGATCCATCACCACAGCCCCCTGTGCTCTTCCCTCCCCTGCGGTGACCACTCTCTGCCTCTCCTCCCCCTCGGCCCGCCCCCCACAGTATGCCTCTGATTTTTGGTTTGCCTACAAGTTGTCTTTTCCTGATCCTTCTTTCAGTCAGAACCCAAACTTTTCAACAGTGTTTTTCCTCTTCTTAGAGTTACAGTGCTTTCAGAGATGCTCTGGAATTCTGTATTACATGTATTTAAGGCCTAAGGATAGAGCGTGGGAGAACATTTCTCTTTTGGGAACTGCTGCTGGATTTCATTTCCCAGCTGGCAATATGGAGCCAACAGCAGTTTCACAAAAATATGGGTTTTCCAACCTCATTTTCTTCAATAAATCCCCTATAAAACCATCACTTTAGGGCATCCCCAGTGGCACAGCAGTTGAGTGCTGGGCTGCGAAGCTGCCCGCAGCCTCTGCAGTGCTGGTTCCATCCCCAGCCACAGGGTGAGTGTCCCACATGGCACACAGACCTCTCCTGAAGTGCCTGCTGCTCCCCTCCGCTGTGTACATCGTCAGTCTGCCTGTTCTGCTCCCCGCTCTGGCTCTGGTGAATTCTCTACCCTCCCGCGCTTCTGACTATACCCAGCACTCATATAAATAAATAAATAAATAAATAAATCTTTTATAAAAAATCACTTTATTTTTCCCCTCAAGACTCTGTTCAGCAAGGATGTCCTTCACCTAAGCTTCACTTCCCACAAATCCTTGGCCCCTTGCTTTCAAGTTTCTACTTGAAAGCATTCTACTTTGCCCTTTTCTTTCAAACTACCACTGCCCACATGTTTGTGCTTCACATCCGGTTTCTCTAATCTCCCCTTTTGGTTCCTCCCTAACCCCCTCCCTGTCTTTGCAGAGGAACATATGATCACCCAGGCTGAGTTTTTCATGGTTGATGACAAAATACCGCCTGAAGAAGAAGGCGAGTTTATGTTTGACTTTGACGGTGATGAGATTTTCCATGTGGATAGGCAAAAGAAGGAGACAGTCTGGCGGCTTGAAGAATTTGGACGTTTTGCCAGCTTTGAGGCTCAGGGTGCACTGGCCAATCTGGCTGTGGACAAAACCAACCTGGGCATCATTAAGAAGCGCTCCAACAATACCGCAAGCGCCAATGGTACCTCTTTCTGCTGTACTTGTGGGCATAGAATTATTGCTTTAAATAGATTTGGTAACTGTTATATTTTTGTGACTAATTTTCCTTTTCATGCACTCTTAGATATGGGATTGTGGCTTTAAATAGTGTTTCACTTCTTCGTTAGATTACAGTGATTGGCTTTCTTTCTCAGGGACTTAACTTGCCATAAGCAGCCCTAAATTTTCATGCCACAGGACAAACAACTTCATGGGCCTGTTCCTTTCTTGATGTACTCATATGTCTTGATGTCTATGCAAACAAATCACCCAAAGTCATTGCTTTGAATCTCTCCTGGGGAAGAGCTAGGAATAAGGTTCTTGTATATTTCATACATCCATTCTGATTCCAGCTCATGGGAGGGGAGGATGTGTGGCAAATATCAGAGGTTATCTGAGACTGTGACATAGACTCTCAAGACATACTATCAACTGCTTTTTCAGCTTTAGTTGGAGGGAGAGGGGTGACCCCAAACAGGGAAGACTAATATTTGTCACTTGTCTGTCTCCCAGTACCGCCAGAGGTGACTATAATCTCAGAAAATCCTGTGAAACTGGGAGAACCCAATATCCTCATCTGTTTCATCGACAAGTTCTCCCCACCAGCCCTCAATGTCACGTGGCTTCAGAATGGAAAACCTGTCACCGTGGGAACCTCAGAGACAGTATTTCTGCCCAGGAAGGATCAATTTTTCCGCAAGTTCTACTATCTTCCCTTCATACCCTCAACTGAGGATGTCTATGACTGCAAGGTGGACCACTGGGGGTTGGAACAACCTCTTGTCAAGCACTGGGGTATGAACCATCCATCAATCCACTTGCTTTTGTGGTATCCTCCTGCAATTCATGTGTCAGGTCCTGAGTCCCCTAACTGTTTCATAACAGATGCTGCAATTCTCATTCCTTATTTTTTCCCATTACCCAGCTTCTCCCATTTTCTAATCTGTAATTCCCTTAATACATCATTATGTCTTCCTCTTCTTTAACTGACTAATAACTATTCTTTTAAGTAAGTACCCCATATAAATTCCACTCTCCAACACACAAATTACTGTTTTATTTTTCACCAGAATTTGAAGAGTCAACCCCCCCTCCAGAGACAACAGAGAACATGGTGTGTATCCTAGGCCTGGTCGTGGGTCTGGTGGGCATCATCGTCGGAACCATCCTCATCATCAAGGGTGTGCACAGAGGCAATGCTGTTGAACGTCGAGGACCTCTGTGAGGCACCTGCAGGTGAGTTTGAGTACTCAGAGAAAGACACATCCCAGGGAAAGAAACAGAGTTGGAACAAAATCATAAGATGCCTTTAAGAGAAAAGGAAGGAGAATCAAATCTCTTGATTTATCTTTGTTAGGACAGAATCAGACATTGACATGATGTGGTATCCCAAAGCTTCATGGTCCTTCATCCCTTTCCATACCTGTGCACCTAGACCACACCTTTTGTCTTGGAAATTATCTCCAGTACCTAAGGCTATTGCTCACACTAGAATGCTGAGTTGGGGATCTAAGGAAGTCACCTTCAAGATTTGAGGACTTGATGGCTTTCCTTTCCTGAGGTAAACTTTTAGTTCATAAGGTCTCAGAACTTGACTACTTTGGGTTAGGATATGTTCACTACAGAAATGGAAATCTCTTAGAGGCAGTCCCAGTTTTTGCTCCCCTCATCTAAAAGTGGCATCGGAAATTCTAAGAGAAGGTAAAGCATGGTCTGCTCATTCTTGCTCACTTGGAGAGCAGGGCATAGTGGTTCATGTTGGAGATGTATGTACTAGAGAGCAGATGAATAAGACACTTTCCAAAGTCAGAGGATTAATAGAGAAGAAAAAGGAATCTGAAGGAAAGAACTAAAATTTTCAGTTTAAACACTTTGGTAATTTTGTGTGTCCTGCACAGGTAATGGATTTTCTAACGAAAAGATTGGCGAAGAAAATTCTGCTTTCACAACACTATCAACCCAGCAATACTTCAACTTTTTACAGTGAAGACAACCATTCTTCACCAATTTCCAGACCTGTAACTTCTCTAAGACTGAGGATGCCTTCCTGATCTCTCCAAAGTCTAACATATACTATTGCTTTGTCTATTACCCCATCTTGGGTAATTTCCCTTTACTTCCTAATATGTTCTTATTCTTACCATATATTCCCACCCATAAGACATATAGGATGACCCCATAGGAATGTTCTTTGGTGGCATCTCCTATATATTTATTGCTTTGGGTTTTTTTAAATACGGTTGTGATTTTTCTGAATATAATAAACTATTCTTAGGTGGTATTTGGTGATGAGTCAGTTCTTCATGGGGACCAAGGAACATATACTATCCTTCTATCCTAAGATGTCTGAATGTTGAGTGTATCTTTTAAGCTCTGTAATTAATCAAAAATATCTAGGTTCATTTAAGAATTGATCTTATTCTGCATTTGCAAGAAGAGCATCTGAAAGAAATGCAGTTACTATGGCCCAATCCACATCTGGAAAGCCCTAGAGTAAGGATTGTTTGCTGGGAGATTTCTACCTAAATACTTTCACAATATCTGGTTTTGTTTCTTGAGACTCCAAGTCAAAAAAATATTTGGACCTGTTACAGGGCAGAGAGAGAGGTACCCCAGAACCCCCACTGCTTGCTCTAAATAGGTTCTGCCATCTGCCGCATCAAGACAAAACATATAAGAACTTTAATGGAAAGGAACTTTAATACAATTAGTGAACAATACAGAAAGGACAAAGAATATAATTTCTATATCAAACAACCAAGGTTACCCATCCCCCATGGGTAACAGTCCACCCCAATGGGATTGGCCCAGAGCAATGCCTGAAAGAAAGTTTGCCACAAGTCTAAAGCACCTTCTGGCATGGACCCATAGAAAATGATCAGAAACAGCCAGACAAATCTGAGAGGAAAAGAGAAAAATCAAAACCAAGATAAAAGCTGCCATTGCCACCTCCCCACAGGTCTCTCACCCACATCTGTTTCAACCAGTCCAGGACCAAGTAGTAAATACAGCTTCTTCAAATATCTCTTTGCTCTATGTGCCTCCTACAGGTCTCCTTCTTGCTCCCCATCTTGCTTCCTTCTTCTCCAGTCTTCTCTCTAGCTTTTTCTTCTCCCTGTTCAGCTCCACCCTCTTTTGGGTGGGGCAAGGAACCTAGAACATCCCCTTTTTCCTGGGCGCCACCTTGTAACAGATCCTCCATAGATTGAATGTCAAACCCCAGATTTCAATTTCTGATATGGAGATAGATGGTGGGGAGCATTTGGGATTGAGGGAGGAGCAAAATAGAGGTGGAGCCATACACATTAGAGGATTTACTTACTAGCATCACCCCTTCCAGAATTAATGAATTGTAGGTTTGGACACTGATGACCAGCATTGCCCGTTAATAAACTTGGCCATGGAATGTACATAGTCCTGAATACCTTTTTCATTACCAGAAAAATGCCATGATTTTTCCTTTGGAAAAAAATTAAGATGTGTCCGTGAGTGGAGAAGCTGAGCAAGGAAGTGTGCAGTTATGTCATTAAATGGGAGGAAAGAATATAATAAGCCACTTCTCGTTTGTCTATGAAACTACAACTTGATAGTTCTTTCTACAGTGATAACCAGAGCAACTCTCTTGCCCACCTGTAAGGAAAATGAGTGAATCAGGTTAGTTTCAGGCTATTTTTCCCAGTCCACATAACAAACAGCCCATACCATGAACTGCTGTATTTTCCACCACTCAGACATCTAGCAAACAACAGATGGGCCTGGCATTTGCAATAATGTATCAGTTGTATGGCCATGGGCCCTTAACAGTGTAAAGGGGGCTAGGCAGGGGAGGTGCTGTTCTGTCCCTCTCAGTGCTAGAGTCTCTCTCTACCTGCCTATGTATGTAAGTCCTCTATTTCAGCATTAAAGTCCTGCAAATTCCACCATAGTCTTCAAAATTATCTTTTTGTCTGCGAGAACTGACAATGAAACTACCCGGACTGGGACAGTTGCACAATACTGCTGTAGAGTAAATGATTTTCAGGCTTTTCTACCCTCCCTCCATTAGGATTGCATGCCTGATGAAGGCACCTACATTTTATTACATTGTTATAGTCAGTTGTATTGTTTACTTCTGTAGGCCATTGGGTCAGTATTGATATTTGCCAAAAGCAGCTGATGCATGCAGGAGAGAGAACAGGAGAGAGCTCGGAAAAGAGTGAAGAATTGCCAGGGACTGGGAGGCCTGCCAGACTCTGTCTGTGGTGAATCCTTTCACCCCCCGCACCTCTGGCCTGTACCCCAGTTCTTGTACGCATACATAAATAAAATATATTTTTTAAAAAAATGTAAACAAAAATAATAACCAGAGCCTACCTCATAGCTTCCAGATATCCATTACAGTGTGATAGACTGGTGTAGTGGCAGGATAGGCACTGAGCAGGTTTTCTATGATTCAGCAGAAAGGGCAAAGAAGGAGTGCTGGAGCCCTTGGTGGCTTTCGCAGGCTTTTATTGAGCTTTACATGCATTGCAGCAACCAGGTACATGGCAGGGGTGCAGGGGTACGGGGCCTGCAAACCGCCCCCCACAAGTCTTCACTCTGGGCTTCTCTCTCCTCTTCTGCTTTTCTTTCTCCTGCCTTTTCTGCTGCTTTTCTCTGGGTGACTATCTCAATACTCCTCCCATGGCCCACAGAAGTAAATAAGGCAGTTTGCAACAATGTAACAATTGCAAGTACCCCCACGAGGTCCCCAATCCTGATAATGGGAGGGCAGAAAAGAGAAAATCATTTGCTAAATCATTTACCCTACAACTGGTAAATAAGTTCTTTGAAATAAATTTGACTTTGTAACCAGTGGCTGAAGACAAAGACTGTTACAGGTGGTGCCCCCTGGAGGGGAGTGCTGGGGAGGATGAATAGCCTCAGGGAAAATGCAAACAAAGTATCACATTTCTTCTGATAAGAAATATAAGGTACTGCAGAAGCAGCCCTGGAATTCAGAGTTTGGGATTCAACCTTTGGGCATTTAGTGTTCAGGATTCAGCATTTTCAGATTTTCAGTGATTCTGGGTTCAGCGATTTCTGCCCCCACCATGTCAATCTTCCAGAAGGCTGTTGTGAGCCTCTGAAGGGCGTGTTGAGGAAGCCTCCAGCAGCCAACCTCAGAGATGAAAAGTTCAGAGGCTTTACAGGTAACGGAGCGACTGAAACAGTTCCCAGTTTTGCTGCTGTTACAGCAGGCAGGGAAGGCAAAGGCCTAGAGCCGGACACCTCACTGAGCTAGGTCAGTGTGGCCATTTCGGGTCGTTCAGCAGCTGTTTTGAGTGTTGCTTGTCTGGGATGAGACATCTTGGCAGCTCAGGGGAGCATCTCCTGCTGTGCCTTCCAGTTGTTTTTGTGAGTTGGAACCTGGCCAATAGTCTGGCTGGGCATGTTCCAGGTCCACAGTGGTGGGAAGACGCCATCTTGGGAGTGTGGACTTTTGTTCAGGAGAGGAGCTCTGTGTCCTCATTGGTTGGAAGATGCCATCTTTGGAGTGCTAGTGTTTAAGACTTTAAAAACACTGGACACTGCTTAGGGTGAAGTGTAAGGGGCCGTTTTTGGCCTCAATAAATCTTTGTTTTTCCCTAGTTTGTTAAATAAATCCCATTATGTTCTCTGAACCTGAGCAGTCTTGCAATTTTGTGCACCAGTGAAGAACTCAGACAGTGACAGATAAACTATTTGGGCAGTGTCCTTGGCCAGTTTTAGTGACCCTAACAGCCCTGTATCAACTTGAACATCATTTTGGCTCTATTACCTATCAGCTATATACTCACTAGAATGTCTGAAGCTATATATTCACTAGAATCTCTGAAACTCCATTTAGCCTTTCATGAAAATAGTGATGCTAATTTTTGGCATATAGAATTATTACAATAATTAAAGAAAAATGCAATAAAATTAATTAGATGCCATGCTTAGGAGTACTGATATTATAAAAGTTATAATTCTTTTTTCCTAAAAATATCTACAAACTGATAATGATCTAGGAGAGCAAAGTAAGCACAATCTGCACCCCAAAATATGCTCTTTGGCATAATGATCATTTTGATCTGATAAATTGGTTTTAGATGATATAATTGAGGTAGATTACTTGTTGACTGAACAAGGTGGCTGTGTCATAGCAATACCTCCTGCTGTACTTGGATCAAGACCTATAAAATTGTAAAAGCTGAAGTATAAGAAATTATAAAGAAGCCACTTATTAAAACAGGTTAATGCCTCTTCAGATAAATTCTTTGATATATTTGATACCAAGTGGCTTATATTTCAAGGGCCTTGTCTAAGGAGTTTATTTCATTCTCTTGGTATAATCCTTCTCATACTCATCAGTATAGTCTCCCTGGTCTCACTTGGAGAAACAAAGTAAGAAATGAAGTAGACAGCGAAGGTTGTCCAAGAACCTGACATCATAACTTGTGAGTTTCACAGAGAAATAAGAATTTAAACCAGATAGTAACTGAGTGCTGCTAATACCAAAATTTTGGTCACCCTGAAAGTTAACCACTGAGCAAATGATTATTAAAGCTCCCTGTGAAAGGGTCTTAGGCCTGGTGGAGTTAACATTCCAATGCAATTGTAATTAACAAGTTTGCTCACTTAACAAATCTTTCCTTAGAGGGCTTTATGACTAAATTTAGCTAAACAAAGTAACAATTCAAGTGGGTGGTAGCTGGCCAAGCTGGTCTATCTCTCCAAGGCCATCCCCAAAGGCCTGGATCTTTCCCCCTTTATCTGTCCCCTCCCCTTGTCTGAGGACTTTGCAGCAAATGGTTGTGCTTGCTGAAAAACAATGTTATCGATGTAACAAATATGAAGACAGTTATGTATAAAAGGAACACTTTGTCTTTAAACTGGGCCTCAGACATTACAAGTCAACCCAGGTCTGAGACCTCATGCATAAGTAATATAGCTTTTCCTGACCTCACCATTCCCCTTGTTCTTCCTCTGCCTGGGTTAAAGGCCAGAAATTCTATAACAATCCTCACATGAATGACCAAGACAGGGGAATTGTTAAAGTAAATAAGCAAAGCAGTCACTAGACTGAAGTGGCTTTAATGCTTTAGTAGCCTACAGAAGCAACACAAGCCTAAGCCAAAGTCAGTTCCTGTAAATGCACTCAGATCCCAGAGAGCAAAATTTAGAACAATCATGACATGCCAGTTAGGTTTTTCCCAGTAGGACAACCACTTAAGTTACAACCAAATTATTTCTTTGCTTTGCCACTCCATCTTTGCTGTGAAAACCT